TTTGTTTTTTGAGACAGGGTTTCCCTGTGTAGCTTTGCACCTTTCCTGGAACTCACTTGGTAGCCCAGGCTGGCCTCGAACTCACGGAGATCTGCCTGCCTCTGCCTCCCGAGTGCTGGGATTAAAGGCATGTGCCACCACCACCCGGCAACCCATATTTCTTATCTACCCTCTGCCAAAAGGCTCATGGCTTGTTACCTCATTTTCTACATGTCCTGCTTCCTCTGTGTCTACTGGCGTCTCCTCTTACTCCTGCTGTGGAATAATCCTTCTGTACACTATGAATATGTATTACTTTCACTGGTTAATAAAGAGCTGACAGTCTGGTAGCCAGGCAGGAAGTTAGGTGGGAAAGCCAAACTGAAAACAATGGGAAGAAATAGGGCAGAGTCAGGGAGATGGCTAGCCAGTTAGCCACCAAGCAAGCAGGACATGTAGAAAATGAGGTCACAAGCCACAAGCCACGTAGCAAGCATAAATATAGGAGTATGGGTTAATTTAAATGTAAGTAACAAGCCTGAGCTATTGGCTGATCATTTATAAGTAATATTAAGCCTCCTAGTGGTTATTTGGGACTGGATGGATCGGACAGGAAACAGTGTGTTCTTCATCCTAGCATCCTTAGTTAGGTTTTCCACCTCTACTTTCTGCCTGGCTACCATCCAGTCAGTTTTTCATTAAACCAATTCGAGTGACAAATCTTTACAGTATACAAAAGAATTATTCCACAACACCCTTCTATTTCCCCTTTTGTTTGTTTTTTAAGACAATGTCTCTCTGTGTAGCTCTGGCTGTTCTGGATCTTGCTCTGTAGACCAGCCTGGTCTCAAACTCAGAGATCCACTTGCCTCTGCCTCCTGAGTGGTGGGATTGAAGGTGTGAGCCACCACACTCAGCTTAAAATATCCAATCTCTTTAAGAATCTGAAATCTCTTAAAAGTTCAAAGTTTCTCAAATCTGGGCTCCTATAAAAATCAAAATTAAGTTAAATGCTTCCTTCAAGAGGGAAGAACCAGGGCATAGTCACAATATGAACAAAGTAAAACCAAACTCTAACTGTGTAAATACTCAATGTCCAATTATCTGGGATTCACTTACGATCTTCTGGGCTCCCCCAAGGTGCTTGGATCACGTCTCTGGCTCTACCCTCTGTCGTATACACAATTTGTCTTCTAAGCTCTGGTAAGCTCCACTCCAAGGCTGTTGCTGATCTTGGTGGTCATCCCATGGTAGTGGCATCTCCAAAATGCTGGGAACTCCAAAATGCAGTGCTGCAACTGGGCTGCGCTTTCACCAATAGCCTCTCCTGGCCTCTCTTCATGGTGCCAAGCCTCAACTTCTCTGTGTGATCCCTTCAATCACGGCTTCAGCTGCTACTGAGGCTGCATCTTCACCAATGGCCTCTCCTGGCCTCTCACAGTGCCAAGCCTCAGCAGCACTCCATGACCCCTTCATGCCTTCAAAACCAGTACTGCCTGGGTGACTCTTAACTAGCAAGTTTGGCTACCAAACACGGCCGCCTCTGGACCACAGCTTCTGGTGGTGACTCTCAGGAAACACTTCCCAGAAGATTTCACCTCCGTGATGCTGGTCTCTTTTTAATCATCGCTAATTTCTCAGCTCCAGCTAAACAGCATCAATTGCCCCAGTAAAACAAAGGGTTCACTTCAGTGATGCTGTCTTGTTAATCATGGCTAATTTTCAGTCTCAGCTGAGCAGAACCACAGCATCTTAATTCAAAATAACAAACAGCTATGACGGAATCATTAAATTTCCCTCTGAAACTTCCCAAGCCAGGCCCTCATTGTCTGCATTGCCCTCAACGTTATCTTCCAAGACCCCACAGTACCACTCAGCAAGCACCGCAGACTCAATGGCTTTTCTTTCCCAAGTCCTTCTACGATCCTCAAAACTCATGCTCAGGTCTGTCACAGCAATCCCCCATTATCTTGGTACCAACTTGTCTTAGGGTTTCTATTGCCATGATGAAACACCATGACAAAAAGGGAAGATGGTGAGGAAAAGGTTTACATGGCTTACACTTCCATATTACTGTTCATCATCAAAGGCAGTCAGTGCAGACTCAAACAGGAAAGGAACATGTAGGCAGGAACTGATGCAGAGACCATGGAAGAATGCTACTCACTGGCTTGCTCCTCGTGGCTTGCTCAGCCTGCTTTCTTATAGAACTCAGAACCACCAGCCCTGGGATGGCCCCACCCACAATGGGCTGGGCCCTCCTCTCATACTAATTAAGAAAATGCCTTACAGCTGGAGTTGTTTTTTTTTTTTTAATTTTAATTTTAATTTTTTATTTTTTTGCCAAGACAAGGTTTCAATGGCTGTACTGGAATTCATTCTGTAGACCAGGCTGGCCTTGAACTCACAGAGATCTGCCTCCCAAGTGCTGGGATTAAAGGTGTGTGCCACCACTGCCTAGCATTACCGCTGGATGTCATGGAGGCATTTTTTCAATCGAAGCTCCTGATGACTCTAGCTTGTGTTAAGTGGACATAAAACTAGCTAGTACACTGGGTTATCTTTTTTTTTTCCCCCACGGGTAGGAAGTAATTGTAATAAATTCAGGCCAGTTGTGGTGGCACACGCTGGTAGGATTTGCTGAAGGAGATGGAGGCAGGAGGTTCATGAGTTCAAGGCCAGCCTGGGCTACAAAGGGGGCTGGAGAGATGGCTCAGTGGTTAAGAGCACTGACTGCTCTTCCAGAGGACCCAGGTTCAATTCCCAGCACCCACATGGCAGCTCACAACTGTCTTTAACTCCAAGATCTGACACTCTCACACAGACAAACATGCAGGCAAAATAATAAACAAACAAACAAATAAATAATAAATTCAGAAGGCCCCCCTCACTTTCTCTGCATATATTTACTTAAAGTCTTTAGGTTATTTTTCTCAATTTTTACACATTTTGGTATGTCAAATCTATCAATCTTTCTCTTGGTGGTGTGCTGATCTCTATTTTTATCTAATTTTTTTTCTCTAATCAGATCTTTTGTCAGTTTGACAGAGGAGTGGGGGAGGGGAGGGAAGTGAGAAGCATTGAAGCAGATGGACAGAGAAAAGCAGAACTGAGGAAATTCTGATAAAGGGCTGGAGAGATGGTTCAGGGAGTGGTGAAGAGCACTTTGCTTCCAGAATACCCAGGTTCAGTTTTCAGCAACCATATGGTGGCTAACCACCATCCATAACTCCAGTTCCAGGGCATCCAATGCTCTCTTCTGACCGGCAAGGGCTCTGGGTACACATTTGTGCACACATGCATATACGTAGGCAAAGCAATCATAAAATTAATAAAGTCTTAGAAATATCTATGATCCTTTTTCTGTAGTTGTACAATGCACTCCCATTTGGTTTAAGCTAATATGATTTGCTTTTCTGATTACTTTTCTGAGACACGGTCTTGCCATCTAGCTCGGACTAGCCTAAGAACATGCCATGTCCAGCATGCTGACTTTGAACTTGCCTCACGTCTTCCGCCTTTGACTCCTCGGTGCTGAGATGACTGGCATGCACCGCTAGATCCAGCTATGATTGGAAACCAGAGTTTCACCTAAGCAGATAAAATTGAATTCGCAGACTGAGAGCAAAGTGAAAAGGGTGGTTTCCTTGTGTTTGTGTACGAACCGGGCAAGAGCGGACGGACTGGGACGGGGCCTCCCAGTGCTCGCGCATTCATCTTTGGCTCCTATGTGGTAGCTAATGCACGCTCTACTTACACAGGCCTTTAGGGAACTTCAGAGAGATTAGGCAGTTGGTGGTGGCTGCCAGCAATCACGACTTAGGTCCAGTTGTGCCAGGCTCCGAAGATCTCTCTCCATCCTCTATCATGGATCTGAGGACTCCGCTTAACTAGGCTGCATAGCACATCTGTGAGCTTTTGAAAAATGGGACTTTTCGCCCCTTTTCACCTGAGAGTCCACTGTGGGGGCGATTAGCATGACTCTTTGCAAAGAGTCAACTGCTCACCTGGCATGGGACCCGCCACCTCACCCCTCATTAGGGCTGAGTAGGCCAGGAAGCTCTAAGTCCGACTGTGTTATCACAATTGCCAGCGTAACAATTGGAACAGCGTACATTTCTGGGCCTCAGTTTTCCAGCGGCCTTGGTTCAAAGAAACCTAGGCTTGCACCTCACCCCTCGCCGCTTCCCGCAATGGCCGTGAGGGGGCGCTGCGGCACCGCAAGTCGCTTCCGGGCATGGAGAGGGCGGGCCCGGGAGTAAACCGGAACCTGATGGCGGGTTCCGCCCTCGCGCTGGGGAGGAGTCCCGGAGCCGCGCTGGAGCAGAAGCCGCTCTCACACCCTCCTCGCCCTCCCCACCGACATCATGCTCCAGTTCCTGGTGAGTGGAGCCTCCGAGGATCGGGCGCCGCGGTCGCCTCGTCCTCTCGGGGTCCCGGGTCGGCGGGGCACGGCTCTGAACCTGCGGCTCGAGCCAGTCGTAGCCCCTCGGGGGAGCTCGCGCGGCTCCCCTCCGGCCTTCTCCCAAGTCCTTTCTCCTTTGCCTGGGTTTATATGCAGTCCTTCAAGTTCTGAAAACTTTGCGGTGTCAGGGAGATGGATGCGTTTTCAAAGCCACTTACTGTGAGCTCATTGCGCCATCCTAGTTAGTAAAAGTTTGATCAGAGAGGTCCTTAAGGACTTGTCTCCTGCCCGCCCCCTCCCCACCCTTCCCACAGACCCCCCCATCCCATTCTCGGCCCGATAGTTGGCATTTTTGAGGCCCTTTCACAAGCCGTGCATTAGTCAGCCACCTCACGACGTTGGAGCGAGCGGCTCACGGAGTTCTCTAAAGACCTTTGCAGTTGGCACGCTTTGAGGAATCAGTCAGATTAGCCTATAAGTAACTCCTCATAGAACCCTTTTGGGAGGGGGGTGTAAAATGAGAATCAAAAGCAAATTGTCCAAGTTCTCCGTTTTTGAATTACCACGTTTTCTGGCAAAAAATCAATTATTTCTAAAATTGCCTGTTGAGGATTCCAGGAGAACTTGCCGACAGCCCAATTTTCAGATGAACGTTTTCAAACTTGATGTTTCATCCTCTAATTCTAATAAAGCAGATGTCCTTTTTCTTTCAGATGGTCAGTGGCCACCTGGTGCCCCGGGAAGGAGTTGCTTTTAATCCAGTTAGCCCAAACTGGATTGTTGACATAAACTGTCCCACAAAGACAAGCCTGCTGCCCGCATTGCCTCTGGGGGTTTCTCCAGTGTCCTAACCGAGCATTAGCTTAGGAGGCAGGAGTAATTAACAGTCAGTTTACTTGTTAGGGATCACTTTTAAAAGCAGTATCAGCCAGCTAGTGGAAGATGATATGACTGGCTTTCCCACCGCACCTGATGCTCATTGATAACTAGGGAGAACATGAATTCAATTTGCACAACATTTTACATGCTTCTGCTGAATGGGTGTATTTGGTGTGGGACTAAACTGCTCCGTACTAATGTGGGTTTTGATTTGGGAATTCAAGATTTTCAACATTTAAGGAGAGATGCTGAAGCCATCCGTCAGATTCTTAGCACCGACGTAACTGGTCACCCACTAGGGTCCCCCTGCCCTGTGTCCCCCCCTTCATTGCTTTTGTTGGGGATGAATGAATACGGATGGGCAGAGGTGGAATCAGCTTTCGTGTTGTGGACTTGGTCAAACACTGGTAACTTCTGCAAGTCTTCCTCCTTACGTTAGCCATTTCATCTAGAAAACACTGGCCATCCTGGCCTAATGTTTAGGAGTTTAGACTCCGCCGCAAAACTTTAGTCCCAGCACTCAGAAGGCAGAGGCAGGTCCATCTCTGTGAGTTCGAAGCCAGCCTGGTCTACAGAGCGAGTTCCAGGACAGGCTCCAAAGCTACACAGAGAAACCCTGTCTTGGAAACCAAAAAAGAAAAAAAAAAAGTTTAGGCTTAAGAATCACGCTTGCATTTGTACCCTGTCCTTATTACTCTCAAGCTGTGGGAGTTGGGCAAATCATCTCAGTTTTCTGTGCTTCCGTTTGCCCTTTGTGAGGTTTCAAAAGGAGCCAGTACATTAGACACTTAAACACTGGCACTCCCTAAAGACGGAGATACTGCCCCTTCTCTTTTGTAAGGTATCAGAAGTGGGAGTTGGCCTCCCACAGACAGATGATAGGAGAAGGCTGAGTGTGATGGAATGATCCAGTCCCAGTGTGAGACCTGCCACTGCGCACTTTGTAGCCCTCTGGAATGTTTCCTCAGTTTTTGCCTCGGGGGCCATTGAAGAACCTGTGCGTTTGATTGTGTTGCTCCTGTGTTCCTTTCTCTTCCGGTTACAATAGCATCCATGATCCCTATTTGCACACTGCACTCCACACCCTGCCCCTAGCTCGGCTGAGCATTTCCAGGAACGCTTAGATGGGAAGCCGGCTGTGAGCACTGTGGCGGTTCACAGCACCTATGGTACTGCTGCAGGGTCAGTTCCTCTTTCCTCTTGAGCCGCGGTGGCTGTTAACTCAAACCACATCTTCCTTAACTGTCTCCCTTAGCTCTGGGGCCCGTGCACTGGACTGCCCAGGTTCTGTTGTGTTAAAACTCAGAATCGCAGAGTGAGGGTGACTGGCCACTGCTCCCGCAGAGCAGGCCCTATCTGGGTGTAGCAGATGGGACGCTCCCTGCCTCTCTAATCTTTCCTGTTTTTACTGGCTGCTTCCCTCTGCTCTTAGTTACTGTGGGTGGCTCAGGCCTGGGTCTTGAGCCACTGTGCTCTCTGAATTTACCCTTAGAGAACGTGTTCTAAATCAAGCTGTCTCTTTTCACATCTTCACTGATGGTTTCCAAAAGTACTTTGAGTCCTTTTCTGTGTGTTCCATCTATCAACCGTCAACATGTCTTATTTGCCATCCTCTTAGACTCTTCTCATCTGGATTGACTGCTCCTTCCTGCTTCCCCAATCCTTCCCCACATTTAACTTGAACATTTGAAATGTTGACACAGTCTTTGGTTTCTTTCTTTTATTCTTCATTTTATTCATTAAAACTGTTTCATTCTTGATATCATATGCCTGACATGTGTGTGTATTCACTTGTTTACACAATCTTTTTATGTGATGTAGCAGGTGCATCTTCCATACAGCAAATTTCTTTCTTAAATCATATCTGTCTCTCTATCTCTCTATCTATCTATCTTTCTTTGCACTTGTCTCTACTGTGGGGCATGCACATGCAGAGGTCAGAGGACAGCTTTCAGGAGTTGGTTCTTCCTCCCCCATATGGGTTCTGGGGCTCGAACTCAGGTTGCCAGGCTTTGTGGCAAGGGTGTTTACCTGCTGAGCCATTTTCCAGGCCAGACCTGCTGTATAGTCTTGACTAGGATCTTTCATGACTCTGTGCTTCAGTTTTCCCGGCATAAATGTGGGCAATAATAGTGGTTCTCTAAGGTTGTGAGGACCAAGAGTTAATGGAAGAGGCGGGATGCCACCTTAGATGGCGGCTGTGAGGTCTCCGTGGCTGACCCACTGAAGCTTGCTCTCTTCACAGTGTTCCCACTGAGTTGTTCCCACTCTGCTCTCAGAGCGGCTGCCCCAGCTGGCTGATGTCGAATTCAGGTGTGAACTAGAAGGGTTCTCCAGGCTGGCTGCCAGGCTGCTGCTTCTCATCACTACTAAGGGATTAAGTTTGGGGACATACAAGGGACTTAGTCAATACTTGGTGATGACTGACTTCATTTACAGTCAGTTCTCCATATTTAACTATCCATGGATGGGAAATAGTAGGAAATAATTGTGTATGTATTGCATGTGTACAGTTTTTCCTTGACATTCCTAACCAGGATAGTGGGATGGACTGTCCCTGTCACCTTACGTTGCAGTAGGCATTGTGAGTGATGTAGAGGGTTAGGGTGAGCTGGGGAATGTGGGTGGGTTTCTGTGCAGTTGTATAACCAGCTCGAACAGCTACAGATGTTAGTGTGTGGGGTGCCCTGGAATGGATCCCTCATTAATGTTAGGTCTTCTTTTTTCACTCTGTTTCTACTTTTGGTTATATGATAGTTAAATATTTGTAACAGCTTCTTGGAGAGCAGGGAAACCAGTACATCCTTCCCAGAAGGATTTTCATGTGCCCCTGTTGATTATTGGCAGTTAAGGAGTTTATGATTTTTCTTATTATGTTTTTCTTTCTCCATTTATCCTCTAAGCAGTATTGCTGAATATAAAACATAGCTTACCTCTTTTTGGTTTTTCAAGGCAGGTTCTCTCTGTGTAGCCCTGGCTGCCCTAGAACTCACTTTGTAGACCAGCCTGGCCTTGAACTCACAGAGATCCGCCTGCCTCTGCCTCCTGAGTACTGGAACTAAAGGCGTGCGCCACCGCATCCAGCCATAGCTTACCTCTTCAAGAATGCTTTTCTAGGAAGTATAGAAGGGTCTTAGTTTCTAACCCCAGCAGGGTTTTGTTTTAATGCATAGAATATAGATATGTTTACTACTTGATGCAGACGTTAGACATCTTATGATAGTCTTCACACCAAGTTTAGAAACGGAGACACAGAAATGGTGCTGTGTGTACATGCCTCCTTGGAAGGCCTTCTGATTTCTTCCTTTGAGTCTAAAATCGAAGAGTACTGTTACCAGGGCTGGAGTGATACTCCAGCTGTTGAGAGCCTTGGCTGCTCTACCAAAGGACGTGGGTTTGATTTGCCGCACACACATAGTTGTTCATAACATCTGTAACTCCAATTCTAGGGGATCTGATGTCCTCTTTTGGCCTCTGTGGGACTGCACAAAAGTGGTATACGTTATAAATTAGGCAAAACACCCATGCAGATAAAAATAAATAACACTTCAAATACTGTTATCAACTTAGCTTTTTATTAATTCTAGTTAATGCATAGTTTTGAGTTATAGATGTTCTCACCATAGACCAAATATTTTTAGGCTTCCTTTTTAATGCTAGCATGTAGCTATATTTGCTTAATATTTTTTTAAGATTTATTTTTATTATTTTAAGTGGTGTGTGTTTTGTGCGTGTGTGCGCGCATGTGTGCGTGCGTACATGCGTGCTCGTGCGTGTGCGTGCGTGCGTGCGTGCGTGTGTGCGTGTGTGTATAACACCCACCCCTTGAGGGCAGAGGCGTTAGGTTCTCTGGTGAGTTACAGGCAGTTATGAGCTGCCTGATGTGGGTGTTAAGAACTGGACTCTCATCCTCTACAGGAAGAGTCCGTGCTCTGAGCCGCTGGG